TGATAAATATTAGAGGAAATGTAATTTTTTGAATGTCGTTTGTTGTAACTTTAGACCCTATATCAAAATTCAAGTTTATTAGTTCCACATTTTTAAATACATTTATCTCTTATGAATATATTATAATATTAAGTCAATTCATGATAATCTATGAGAACAATGTTTCATTGGAGATACTTTCAACTGTACTTGATCCCATTCTTTTCTCATCTTAGTTTGATTTTATACTTTAAGTTAAGGATAATTTTGTATCTTATGGATCTATGAAGTGATCTAATCCTGATTTATAAGAGTACCTTAAGCAGGGATTACTTGTGTGCAGTAGTGAAACTTTCGATATGCTCAAGTGGTGGAAGATAAATACACATAAGTATCATCGTTTTTCTATTACGACTCAAAATATTTTATTAGTGTTTATAAATGCACTAGCCGCATAATCTACTTTTAATGCTGGTAGTAGAGTGTTGGATGATTATAGAAATATTTTATAACTGACCAAAGAAAAATATGTTGAGATTTTCATACCTTTTTTATACTGTTTTTAATGATATTGCACTTTAAAGAAATGTATTTTTGATGTTTTGTTGCAGGAATGATGAATTAGGGTCAATGGAGCAAAAAGATGCAAAAAGGAGCTAATTTGGAGCAAAAATGACCAAAATGTGGAGAATTGCACTAGGGCGCCGACGGCGAGCTTTTCTCGAGGCTACAGGACAAATTCTTCAGAAGGCCGCCGACGGCGGGATCGACGGTTATGTGACATGTACAATGGATAAGGCCGGATTTTGGAGGAGTGCGTAAGCAACACTTGGGAAACTCATCCACATCTTTAAAGAGAACATTTTGGCCGAAAATAGAGAGACTTTTGGAGTCCTGGATGTTAGAAAGGATCCATTAGTGCGTAGAAAGCTTGCTAGAGCGTATAACTGTGAGGAATTCTTCAAGAAATTGTAAGAGTGGAGGGAAAGGGAGAGATTTCTTCCTCCTTACTACTTCGAAGAGGAATTCCGTGTGTTGTAAAGAAATGAAGAGATTCAGAGGAACTTCGAGGAGTGTTCTTGGGGAGAAATTTAGAGATAAGTTATTTACTTGTTATAGTTTGTATGGCTTTGATTTTATATATGAATTCCAAGTTGTGTTGTGCTTTCCCCATGAGTTCTGAGTAGTTTTCTCTGTCTTTCTCCTTGTCTCGAGATTTGTGAAATGGTGATTTGAATTGATGAAGCCATGAAAATGTTTAAGAAATTGTGATGATCTTTTCACTTCGATCTTAAGTTACTTTCAATCTGATCAATTGATTTGTTAAAATATGTTGAGTTTTACAACTAAAGTGAAGATTACATCCAAGATTCAGGGAGGTCAAAGCCCTTGGAAGTTGGGTGCAAAAAAATAGGGAAATATTACTATCGGACGTAGAATTGGAGATTTTAAAGTGACAGACTTAAATCCCCAATTCGGTCATATCGTTTGGGTGCTGATGTGTAGATGTTAGCCCTCAGGTGAGGGGAACGTGGGAGGTCCGAAGTGAGAGCTGGTATCCTCATAGCCTAGCCGCAGAATCAGTAACCAAGCATAGGATTAGTCAATGTTCTTTATGTCTGGACCAAAGGGTAAAGAATAGGTATGCTCCTATTTGACACAATATCAATTGAACTAATTCATTTTATCCATTCACTATAATTTCTTGGCAAGGAGAATGATGCTTTCTTATATATTGAATATCACAATTAAACGTTATTTTCTATAATTAGTTATTATCCAAATTATCTATTTACTTCAATTGCCTATTAGTGACGGATAAGCAACTTGAACGTCGTTGTAGTTGCAGTATTACTTTTTATTAAATCTTAGTCCGTAGTATTCTATTTCTCCCTGTGGTATCAATATCTAGGACTCCATTAGAGCCCTATATTACTTGAGCGATATGTATACTTGCGTTGATAAATTTGACTTTAACATTATTTAATATTATATCTATACATCTTTATTAAATCTAACATATACATATAAAGTCGCAGTCAAGTTTTTGGCATCGTGCTGGAATTTAAATCTTCTAGTAGCGTCATCAAATTCTTGTAATTGTTGATTTAAAAAAAAGGTCGGTCAATAACTTAAAGTTGTTATTACTTGATTTATACAACAAGTTGGATTAGATTTGCTCGAAAGAATGAAAAAACACAAAACACCCTTCGTAATCCTTCCTTCAATGTTGATTTTTATTTATTTATTCTTATTACTAAATACTAAAATTTATTTCTTCAAATTTTATTTTTAGGAAGAGATAAAATAATAGGAAAATTTTAATGTGCAACTACAATATATTTGAAGTTAATTCTACAAGGATTTTGGAATCTTTTGAATTTTCATAGTTTTGGCAAATTTGGACGCACTTTTTTGGGCATATCTTATTTGCGCTGCTACTAATTTAGTATATTTTTTTATTGTGTGTATGCTTTCATTTATTTATTTATGTATTGCAGCGTTATAGAAACATAGGTAAAATTTACGCAACTTTAGAGCTTCTCTTCTATATCTGGTATGACATAAGCTCATGCAACTGCATATGTACAAGACTATGATGGTTATATAGGCTATGATGATTTTAAAAATGATCATGTGTGCTATAATTATCTTAGAAATTAATTCTAATAGATCTAAGGTTGGCATACTTAATAACATTATGCAACCATTTATATGAATCTTGTATATCTAAGGTTGACGAAACATAATAAATTAAGCAACTATTTAAATTTGGCAAAACATAGCACAATATGTAACCTTTTAGATTATAAGTAAATTTAACATTTAATCCTAAATATGAGCCTCTATATTTAAATATGTCATAGATTTTTTTTTCATAATAAGCTAAAGCTTTTATTTACACATTGAAGTTTATTAACAAAGTGCAAATATCACTATTATAGTCGTATGACAGTTTCTTAGCTTCACTATTATTACTTATTGATGTTTTATGTTTGTTATTACTACTATTTTTTAGTTAATCCATTATTATTGTTATTGTTTTGTTTAGTTATTGTCGAGTTGCTATTATTTTCTTACTTGTTGCTTCTATTATGATGTATTCTATGAAGAGTTTGGAGCAATTTATTAGTATTTGTACAATGTTGTTGATGTTTCATCACTAATTTTAATGATAAATAATCTTAGTGTATTTATGCTTGTTGGAAATAAAAATTCAACCTATTGGTATTAATTTTTGGAAGTTTGGAAGAATATAATTATTGTTTATACTGTGCTATTTGGTTTACCTATTCATTATTATTGTTGTGTTTGACATTTTATAGGTCTATAATTGTTGATATCCTTGAGTTTTATGAATTATAAATGATGATATATTGTAACTTTTTTTTGTCTCATATTTTGGCTTTTGGTTTGTTGAACCTATTGAAGGTTTTACCTTTATTAGCTTTTAGTTTGCTGAATTTATTGATGATTTTCTTCTCTAGTGCTAGCTTGGTTTTTAGTGTGTTGAAAATGTTCTTTAGTGACAGTTTTTTTCTTATTTTAAGCCTTTGCTCTTTGGCTTACTGAACCTATTGATGTTTTCTTTCTTTGTTGCTATCTTGACTTTTGATGCGCTAAATCTTTTGATGGGTTTTTTCTTGTGATGGCTTTCAGTTTGTTAAATCCATTGATTATGTCCTTCTTTGGCTTTGGCTTGGCTTTTGGTTTCTTGAATCTATTGTGATGATTTTTTCTGTGTTGGGCCACTGGCTTTTGATTTGTTAAACATGTGGTTTTCTTCTATGGTGTTGACTTAATGTTTGAATTTCTAAATCTGTTGATAATTTTTCTTCTGCTGGCTTTCAGTTTGTTGAATGTAGGTCTAGGAGTTTGAGATTAGGAGGGTATAGTTGCTACTTATATAATTATATATATCTTAAACTGCATCTTCTCATTTCATTTTTTGGTTGAGCAATGATGAGAACATGTATATGCAGTTCCACCAGTACTTAGTCTTTCATTATTTGGGCTATGGGCCTAAGGTAATTCAATTGACTCTTTTATTGCCTTTGGATGGAACTTTTCATATATATCATAAATTTGTCTATTATTTATGTTGGGAGTTTAGACCCTGAGCTTAACATCAACAATACTTATGCATATTAATTATGAATAATATTTATTTCTTCTTTTGGTAATTCAAACATGCATGTTTTTCTTTCATTTTAATACTTGTTCAATAATATTTGAAATTGGTTGGTTGGAGATAATATAAAATGAATCGAGACTTGATAGGATCATCAAATGGAAAATTTGAATGAGCTAGAATTTTGATTGTAATTTTATAATATATTTTATATATTTTTATAATATAATTTGAGTCAGAGATTGCTATTGTAAATACAAACTTGTGAAAAAAAAAAACTATTTTTTTAATTTCATATATGTATACGCATTTTATTATTATTATTTATTTTCACAAATGCTATAATTTTTTATGAAATTCAAGCTAATTCAAAACTTAAACGAACAAAACAAGCGTATTTTCATTAATACTATTCGAAAACAAACATCAGCTTAAGTTGAATTCGAAAAAAAGTTTATTTAAAGAGCCAAACATAAATAAACACTGAGCTTGCTCATGTTCGAATCATTTACACTCTTTGCATTAAGGCCAAAAGAGAAAATGCTAATTTTCTTAAAAATGCCTAAAAACTATTGTATTCTCACTCCCAATTAAATTAAAATTTTACCACCTACTATTGCTAAATTAGAATCTACACGTGCTTCTTGTTAAAATTTAACCAAGTTAAATATACATATATAATGATAATATAAGTTCTAATATAATTATGAACCATCAAGAGAGAAGAGAAAGGGCAACACATAACTTTCAGGCTCAGTTTCTACCATAAAATTACAACCTTGAAAGCCTCTAAATTATACACTATACTGTATACCAAATTAAATCACATATTGCAGATCGGATACCAAACTCAACAAGCCTTCGCAACTCATCATAAAGATCAAAAGAGGAGTTCAAAAGATAGGAAGCCATTAAAAGCCACTTTAAGTAAAGCTACAAAAGCTAAGCACAATAATTCCTTACACAGATACAATGTTTCACATCTGACAGGAATTCAAAATACAGCATGACATATGCAATAGGCAACCAATAAAAATCACACTCATTTCCTTACAATGACAGGATCTCAGCAGATTCATATAATACTCCAAGACTAATATATATAATTAAGGGGTGGAGATATCAATGTATTTCTCTATTGTGGCTGGTTTCTTAGTATCATTCAGCACATTGGGGAGCTTCTGAGAGGACTGAATCAAGTGATCCTTAGCCTTGCCCCATATAAGAAAATATAGGCCAATTACTATTATGATGGCACCAGTCATTGTTCCTACAGTGATCTTTTCAGCAAGTATGATAGAACCTAAAACAACCACAATTATCATGCAAAGCGGCTGGAAAGCAGTCACAAATACTGGTCCTCTCTCCTTCATTACTATCCCTTGAATGTAGTATGTGACACCAGAACAAACTATACCCTGAGTTATGGCCATCAAAATGCAGTTTTGAAGCAATAAATCATCAAAAACATGTATAATATGAGATCAAAGGTCTGTAAAATCTTATAAGAAATTTACCGAGTAAAGAGCAGCAAAGATCCGTGTATCAAAACCAATTAGCCAAGGCTTTAATCCCCTCTCCATTACAAGAGCAACAGAAGCACTTTCTATCATTCCCATGGTGCAGATTAGAGTGGCAAGTGAAAGCTCAGCTGGGTAGGATTTTAGGGTATTTGCCTTGAAAAGTATTATTTGAAAATTGTTAGGAACATTTTAATCAAAAGTTAAGTGAGCAAATATATATATATATATATATATATATAAATATAATAATAATAATAATAATAATAATAATAATTGATGATAACTGTCCAGTTTTATAGGATTTAACTTCAGTTTAGTTCAATTTGTTATTTATGATAAGCCAAATCAAATTGAATACAACATTTTGTTTCTAGACTAAGGGTGCGTTTGGGGCAGCTTGTGTCTATTCAGATAAACAGCTTATCCTGAAATGCGGCCCGAGGGTGGTCCCCGGGTTTGACCCGCGACCTACGTTTAGTGTAAAAACTTAACCTCATTTTCAGATAAGCTGTTGAAACTTGTTTTCCAAACGGTGAGACGTCGTTTTATAAGTTGCCCCCAAACGGGCCCTAAGTATTCAATTTAACAGATCTGATTTCAACTTTGACATATGCTCTAGTTGAGTTTTAAGCCATGGGCATCAATAAAAACTTAAATTGTATTATTCAAGGAAATAAGAGTTGTGATTTGTCTGATTTGAAGGATTTGCAGAAAATGAAGATGAATTTTACTTATCAAGTAATTATATTTATCTAAAGAATGTAAATAAAAATGTTTATGTAATTGACACACTTTCTTTTCCAATCTCAATGAATATTGTAAAACAAATATGTATATCCAATCATTAATTTCTCTCAACTAAACAGTTGGATGAAATTTGATGTCAATTCAATTCAATTTTGATTTCTATTTTCACAAAAAAACTTAAAAAACCTACAACACAAAGCATTTAACTGATCCAAAATATTTCAATATTGATTAGAATTTTATGGAGATTCAATTAAAAATCAAACCAAATATAAATTGGATTTGCAATCAGCCAGATGAATGGATATTATATGCAAATATAATCACCTGGAGAATGAAGAAAGCAGCCCAACAAGTACAGCTTCCTAGCAGCATAAAAGTACCCATAATCCAGTGCCTCTCATTTTGGGTTCCAGCATCTGTAACTACATGTTGGTTGCTTCCCCTTGTCCATGGAAGATCCACAACAGCTCCCTTATACATTATCATTAAAATTGCTCCAGCAACTGTCACTAGGGTTCCAATAATCTTAGCCTGGCTGCGCCTGCTCTTAATTTTTACTTTTTCAACCCTACAAATTCCATTAATAGTATGTTCATATTAGTGAATTCAAAACATACATACATACATTAATTTGTCTCCAAGATTTGCCATTTTCACATGTTACAACTATCCCAGATAATAATGTCTTATTCATAGATTAAATCTCTCTTGTATTATTATTATATATATAGTTTTGATAAATTATCATAAGGTTTCTTTTATGATTAATTTATGAATGTGGATATGAAAAAAGCTAGGAAAAGTCACCCAATGATGAAGGCCATTAAGAAGGTTATGGCAGGAAGAATATTGACTAGTGCTGCAGTAAAGCTTGCTGATGTAAACACAGTCCCCACATAATACATATTCTGATCAAGCACTGGCCTGAAATATTTGTGAAATGCAACAAAAATTAAGCACAGACTAGCTACTGTTAGAACCCTAACCACTATCTAATAAACCATAATTATTCATAAAAGTTAAGTAATCAAGTATATAATTATGAGACAGGAGAGGTTAGAGCATACTCCAAGAGTGCCATAATCAATATCTTAATGAAGATTCTTGGTGTCATCTTTGGCCTCCCTTTCCTTTTGAAAAGCAAACCATAGAAGAATTGAATTAAAAATATATTAATTGACCATGGTTCATATGAAGATGCATGCAAGTGCAATTAGTGTCACATCAAAGAATAATATAGATATATATAACAAAAAGAAATCGGTATTTGACAGAGACCCAAATACCGATTTCTCATTCGCTAGGCCCCATGATGAGAGTCTATGCCATTTATCTAAATATTCGAGAACTCAGCACCACTGGGGATCGAACCCATGAATGACCTGAGGGGACTTACCACTGGGGATCGAACCCATGACCTGAGGGGCCTTCCATTGACCCACGATAACTAACAAGCCACGGCTTGCGCCACGCGCGCACGCACACACATATATATATAGAGAGAGAGAGAGAGAGCTAACTAAATAGTGTGGTATGATGAGATACACGCGAGACTAGGAAATAAATAAGGAATTGAGCTACTATATAGTCTATCATTAGCTTAAATGTTAATGATGATGAATTACATTTATTAATGTATTATATTGTACTTGAACTCCATGATCCACACTCTGATTTTATTAATGTTCTGGCATTGAAATTGCTTAACGTGCATGACATACATTCTTTTAGTATAAATAAAAAAGTTTCTCTAGTATCCAATTGCATGTATATATGCATGGTCAAAGCAAACGTACAGCTTATTTGTTAGGCCATGCTACATAAATGATCCTTTTCTCAATAAATCTATATATATATATGTAAAGTGGTGTATATTCATGATTTGATTGAATAAAATAATTAAATATAAACACTGAATTTAAGTTTTTATAATTTTTTCTCAAAATTCCTTTTAAATAGGAATTTATTTTCTCCTTAAAAATAAATAAAAATGAAATCATTGTTTCTTTTGAAATATATGTAATATTTATAAATATATTAAAAATTAATTTTCCATCAATAAATAATTAAATGGCTTTTTTTTCTCTCCTTGTTAATGCTAAAGCTTGGAATCAAAGTGTCCCATAAATCCTTAAAAGCAAAGTGCCATCTCCACCATCACACGTCCTCCATGATCTCCACATTAATATGTTTCACAAAAATGACTAAATATTAAATTTTATTTACATATATGCCCATTAATAGTATAGTAATGATGTTTCATTAATAATATAAATATTAATAATAAAAAAAAAAAGAAAAAAAAGAAAATAACCTCTCAAGCCAAATGGCAAAAGGTGCAATAGCTGCAACAGCCACAGCATTCCGATAGACGACGAGCACAAAATGATTGATGCCTTTCTTCAACGAGACAATTGATATTACATACATACCAGCATAGCCAAACTGTAAGAAAATCATAAGGATATATGGCTTCAGCCTATTCATTGTTGCCCTCACGCAAACTTCTGCCATTCTTAAGAGTCTAGAGCTGAAAATCTGTTGTGCACACAAAGGCAAGGATTATAAGCTGAGTGCAGGCCTTAAATAGAGCTTAAAAGAGAGAGGATGCTTTTGACCAAACAGTGACAGTCTCCAAAATTAAAAGGTATGGATGGATTATTTCATGTCTATGTGAGCATGCTTTTTGAGGTGATTTTTATCAAAGAGAAGGTGATTGAAGCTAGCTAGCTAAGAGATATAGATAGAGGTGTTTTTTTTTTCTTTTATTTCCTTGGATGGGACCTGATGATGTATTAATTTATATTTTAGCTCTAACCATTGTGTACCAAAGAAAGGGGGAGTGACAGTTGTATTAAATGAACAAAATGAATTAATTCCTACTGAACATGTCTCTGGGTGGCATGTATGTATCGATTTATTATTGCTCATGAAAATAAGAAAATTTTATTATTTTAATGCAAAAAATTAACAGATGAGAAAAAAATAGGTTTGAAAAAGTCTTATTTAATTTTCGGTGCGAGCAAGTAAATTTTCCTATTTTGCGAAACATATCTTCATGCATGTTTTGAAAGGAAAGAAAAAAGTCTTTGAAATACTAGCTTTGCAAGACAAATTTAAGTTGTGTATGAGAATTTTACACCACAAAAAAAGAGTATCTTTATGTAAAATTGGATTATTATATTATAAACTATTTTTTTTTTTTTGTAATGAAGCATTCTCCAATTCTAAAAAATTAATATTTGACATGTGTACAAATGAAGTAAAAATATGAGGGATGAGATGAATATTTTTTTATTTGGGTCATAAATTATTCATCTGAACAAATACAAAGTATGAAATAAAACATGCAAAAGGATTGAATTACAACTTAATTTGACCTACATTGATTAAAATGGTTCTAAAATATTCTCAAAATGGTGGACAACAAAAGACAACCCCTATAATAGTACATCAAGAATTGGAAGCTTCAACCACTCTACTTGGATGATAGGTAAGCTTGAAATTCTTAAACATAAAAATAACAATTATCCTTCTTGTTTAACCCCAGTTGTTCAACGATAGAGTGCACGTGGAGGCTAGCATGCTCACTACATCTATTGTTGTCTAGAAGCCAATATATTGCCACTTCAAGTTTAATTGTCAACAAGAAGAATGCCAAAGATGCTCCTTACAAACTAGTGTGCCCCCGTGAATATGCTCCACCACCACTTAAGGCACTCTTTCGATTAGATTTACTAAAGGGCAAAGAAATTCCTCGCAATTATTTTTTTTAATATGCCCATTAAATTTTTGGATCATTACCACTAATTAATATGCTCTTAATATTTTCTTCTTTGACATGATATATAAATGAATAAAGATATAATCAACATTTAAATATTTAATTTGGAATAATTTACTTAGTTTAAATAATAATCCTTACAGTCATTGACAATTGTCTTGCTCGTGATAATAATACTATTGAATGCATTACTCATGTTAGTGAGCGAACAACATTCATGCCAAGTCTACTAACCACTATTTACCAATATGCTTATAGCAATAACAACATAAGAAGCACTACTTACTACATTCAACAACATACAATGCTTCTGTTAGTTGAATGCCAAGAAAGTCGGATTGTTTTCCTATGTTGCATGTTTTGAACTAGTTATGTAAATTTATAAGAAAGTTGGAGAGTAGTGGAATAATTTCTTATAAGATGAATGTCATTAACATAAATACAAGATAATTTATATTAAATCTAATGGAGTAAATCAACAAGGTTGGGTTAGCAATGTTGGAGCAAAACCCAAGTTGTTCTAGATGCTCATAAAAGTGGAAAATCATTGGTGAGGGTATTGCTTCAAACTAAGATCGATTATTTTGTGTTAAAAAACATGATGTGAAATTTTTTTTATCAATGAACCATTTTAGTTGAGTCATTTAAATGATTACTTAATTAGTTATGTGTAATAATGTATTAGAGATATCTAACTAAAAAATAACACAATCATGCTGTAAGCTACAATGATAAAAATGTAAATAATAAGAATTTTGGCATACAAACTAAAATAATTAATGTAATCTATGTTGTGCTCTTGTCTATAGCATTGAATAACTCGATACCTTTTATGGAGAAAGTTTTTACCATTAAATTATATTTTAGTTTGAAATTTTATTTATTACCTACAAGATTTTCATTAGATGGAGCTAGAACACGGCTCCAAGTGCTCTAAGATTCCAAGACCATAAATTTTGCAAATATAGCCATTCGCCACTTCTGATTTTTTATAGGTTGAGTATATTAGGAACAATAGGAAGAGATGTTGTATCCATGGTGTCAATTGAGCATTTGGCACAATTTGATATGACAACTTTTAAACCTAGTTTTCATATGATGTTTCTTTGTAGGATAACGATAGAGGGAAGAAATTAAAACTAAAGTAGCAGTTGTACGATGGAGTGAAATATTACAAGTGATAGCGGGAGATTCGAGAGGAAGAATCTTAGAAGAGAGAGAGAGTACTTGGTAGGTGAAATATTGTAATGGTTTTGTTTGGTAGTAAAAATAGAATTGCTAGAAGAGGAGTGTCCTGTGTTTTTAAAGAGCTTATTATTTGAAGACAAAAGGTTGAAGGAAGGAATAAGAAGAAGTGGCGTTTTCATAGACGTTGAGGAGTTAAATTTTGGTGGAGTCATCTTGTAAAATGGAAAATTAGATTCATTAAAACATATATTGAGATGATTTTTTTCCCATTGATTAGATTGTAGTATATAAAACTTTTGGATTGAGGAGCATAACTAATAAAAATAAAGGGAGTCTCAAAATTTGGTGGTGTAGTGCCACAAACTAAGACAAATAAAAGCCAAATATCCAAAGATGTGTGTAATCTCAGGGTTTATTATGTAGAAGTTGACACTGAAAGATATTAATTATGATGGAAGATGATAAATGATTAATAAGATAAAGACCAGTGAATAATATATCAACCCATAACAAATATGGTAGACGAGCTAAAAATAATAAACTTGAAATGATTTCCAAAATGTGATGATGTTTATGCTCTATTACACCTTTTTGTTCGGTTCTACAATGATAGATATATCAGTGTAAAATGTGAAATTGATTGAGGAGATTTTGTAGGGAGTTATTAATCGTTCAACACCTCCATCTATCTAGAGAATTATAATAGAATGATAATATTTTCTTTCAACCAACTTTTAAAATGTATAAAAACACGTGACATCAGATTTAAACTAAATTAGAGAAACCCAAAAATAACAGGAGAATTCATCAACAAAGAAGATATAATACTTGAAACCCTATCAGGTGGCATCTATATCTTTATTTGTTTCTTCACTACACGAAAACAAATACAAATCGCCAAACTTATAGGTTGTAAATATGTGCAAATTTAGTCGTGAAAGCTTGATAGCTTCGATGTAAGCGATTTAAGATATATATTTTTCCAATTTATGGTGATGCAATGATTGATATTCAGAAAGAAAAAAAAAACGAGACATGGAGAGAAGGACAAAATGCTTAAAAAAATGCATCAAAATTGTAATGAATTACTTCATTTTGTGATCAAAATTTTAAACATTTTATTATGTGCCACCATAATTTTTATAATGCATTATGTTGATGTTAGCTCCAATGGAACGATTTGTGTAGCTCCAGAGTCAGACGAGATTAGAAAGAGTTGCCTTAGATGGTTTGGTCACATTAAATGTTGACCATCTCATGATCCGGTTTAGGTGAGTAGATGCTTTAGATTCAACTTATTTTAAGAACGGTAGATTTAGGCCTAAAAAGACTTTGCCATATTATAAAAAACGATCTGGACTTAACCAAATATGACACTCAATCGTACACAATCGAGAAAAAAAAATCATGTAGCCGACCCACTTAGCGGGACAACAATTTGTAGTTGTTGTTGTTGTATATTGATTTTATTGATTTGTTAGAACGTCTCTTAGGCTCACAATATTATGAATGACTTGTACTATTCTAAACTCACAAAATAGAGTGCCAATCATTTATATTATAAAAATAACTATAATATGTTATAATAATATTACTTCATTTGAATTTTTTTCTTATCAATTAATTGAAATGAATTTATGTCGCAAAATAGCTATGAGAAAATATCTCAATCGATGACATTGGCAGCGGTTTCATCACAACAACGGATAGCTTTCTTAAAAGCAAATTAAAACTTTTGCAAAAGCTATAAAAAAAATGGTGAAAAAAGTGTTTGTTTTGTGTATCCATGCAGCTTAAAATTGTTATGTTTTATTATATTTGCAATCAAGGTGAATGATTGCCAAACTTAAATGTTATAAGCGCTGTCATCTTTCTCTTTAATTGCCAAAATGACAATTTATGTTCAATTCGGTCTCTCCAACTATTTGGTGGCTTTTTGTAGATAAGTCAGTTCTTATGATTTCTTTTTTCCTTTTTGTTTTTGCTCCAATGAGTTTTTTGGATAAGCACATTGATTAACCAAGGTAATTGATGTGTATTTCTAATGACCAAGCACATTAATTGGAAAAAAAATATTGTGTCTGGAAAACGGACGCGATGCAGTTGATGCAACGGAGGAAGAAAAAAAAAACATCGCCCACTGCATCGTCTGCATCGCATCTGTTGTTGTCCGGACTCTGGATGCAATATTTTCTCCTTTAATTGACCTCCAATTTGAAAAAAAAAACTTTAGAATACTAATGGAATGGTTGAACAAATTTGAAATCTTACATGCTTATAGTTAAATTGAGAATTTTGTTGAGGGAAGTTTAATAAGTCTAAGCTTGCTTACTTACAAGGTCATTAAAGCACTCAAATACAAAAAGAGTAATCTATGATTAAAAGAATCAATATGAGGCAACCAATGTTTTGGGATTTTAACAAGATTTACTAAGAATTCACTCTTAAAAAATTTTAAATAGAGATATATTCTCCACATAAAAAGGACCTAGGGATACGCCATATCACGTGGATCGAGTAAATGAATCCAAATGTACGATTAGAAAAGCCAAAGAAAAATCTGCACAAGAA